ATTTGTCCTTTTTTTTTTATAATTTTCCCTTTCCTTTTTTTTTTAATTCTTATGTTAATCCCCATACATTACATCATTAGTTTTAGATGAAGTGTTCCATGATTCATTGTTTGTGCATAACACCCAGTGCTCCATGCAGAATGTGAGTATTTGTCCTTTTGCATCTGGCTTATTTCACTTAGCATAATATCTTCAATATTCATCCATGTTGTAGCATGTATTAGAATTTCCTTTTTAAGACTGGATAATATTCCATTGAATATCCAATAATATTCCATTGAAAATACCACGTTTTGTTTATCCATTCATCTCTCTATGGACACTTGAGTTGTTTCTACCTTTTAGCTATTGTGAATAATGCTGCATGTACAAATATCTGTTTGAGTCCCTACTTTCAATTCTTTTGGATATATATCCAGAAGTGGAATTGTTGGATCATATGGCATTTTCATATTCTTGAATGTTGTTTCTTATTAACTGACGTCTCTTCAAAAGTCTAGCACTTAGCTTTGACACTTTTTCTTGCAATAAAGGCATAATACACATGTAAGTCATGTATTGAGTAATTCAGTTCTGCTTTCTTCACCTTCAACTATGCTCTGTCACATTCCTGATTCTTAATAATAATTTGGGAGATTTTGGTAACTTTCCAGTCACTGTTAGTTACTAAAGACTAGCACAGCCCAATTACTAGGCTCACACATTTCCCTGTCCTTACCCTCCCACCCCCATCCTTCCCCTACCCCCTAGTTCAGGCTTGACAAAAGGCCCAGCAGGGTTTGGGGGCAGGGTTCTGCTCTTCCATACACCTCCCTTTCTGTCTTCAGGTTCTAGCTCCCCATGGGTAGGAAGAGGGAAAGCAACTGCCTACCTCTTGGCCTTTACTCCCTTTTCTAGACATTCCATAGAGAGTCCTTTCCTTGGTTGCACCCTATAGTCTATATTTAGCTGCCACTGCAATTGATTAGGTCACTACTCCGGCCCTGTTGTTGAAACTTCTTATGTTTATGATTCCTTGGCTTTGTCTTTTGCCCCTAACTGAATCAAAGCTGTTTGTGTTACATACATCCTATATATGTTGGCATTGTGTATATCTCCCCGGGTTCATCCCTGAGTCATTTGGCTGGATTTTCCTGTTGTCAGATACCTTTGCTAACCCAGATATTGACAACTTCTTCGGGTGGGAATTTTGTGGATCTATTATGCTTAGATTTTACTTTTTTGCATTTTAGGGATTAAGTTTAGTTCCCAGTTATTGAAGCACATCTCATCTCCAGATCTTAGGGCTAAGAACTAAGAACTAGATTCTGACTTTCCCCATAGCCTGGTCTACCTCTATTAGATAAACACTGCATGGTCTTTGGGGCTCCCCCTAGTTCTACTTCTTCATAAACTAACTTTTATAAAAATAAGAATTTTGGGGAGGTGCCTGGTTGTCTCAGTTAAGCATCTGCCTTCGGCTCAGGTCATGATCCTGGGGTCCTGGGATCGAGCCCCACATTGGGCTCCCTGCTCAGTGGGGAGTTTGCTTCTCTCTCTCCCTCTGCTCCTTCCCCTCCCCCTGCTCCTGCTCTCTCTCTCTCAAATAAATAAATAAAATCTTTTTAAAAAGGATTTTTTTAAAAAAATTAAAATTGTTCATTCAAAATTTAAAAATCAAAAAATATAAAAAGAAATAATATCACTTGAAATTACATTATTCAGGAATAAATACTATTGCCACATAATGCACATAAATATGATATAGATATAGACATATAGATATAGATATAGATATTGTTGAGGTCACATAATACAGAGATTTTTGAATACTGAGTTTTTCACTAAGTATGAATATTTTTCCATGTCACTATGAAACAAGATCTCGAGTGGGCATATTGCATTCTATTGTATTTATTTATCACAATTGAGCTGATAATTTTCCAGATTTTGAGCATTTATAGTAATAATAACAATATCTAATACTTACTCAGTACTTACTGTGTTAGTCACTTTTTAAGTGTTTTATATATGTTAACTCGTTTAATTCTCATAACACACTTTAAAGATTCCCATTTTACAGGTAATAAAACTGACACATAGAGAGGTTAATTACCAAAGTTATAAGGTTGTAATTGGAAGTTGATCAAGTTGTAATTGGAACTCAGCTAGTCTGGCTCTAGAATTTGTAATCCTAACCACTATCCTGTTACTGTCTGACTCACTGTATAGGTATCTTTGTGGAAAACAAAATCTTTATCTGCATTTTTGATGGTTTCTACTCGGAAGATTCCTAGAGGTGGAATAACTAGGTCAAGAGTTATGAAGGCTTTCAAACTTTTGAAGAATGCTGTCCAGTTACCCTCCGGAAAACTTATACCCATCCACATTTACATCAATAGTAGAAAGAGCTTTCCTGCACACCGGCTTCAATCAATGTTGTTTAACTCCCCCTTAATAACTTTGTGATCTCTCCAAATAGTTCAAATAGTTGAGGGATCCAGGGTTCTAAAGAAACAAAGGACATTTACAAAAATGCAGATTCTTTTGTATATATGCCTCAGATTACACTATATCCTGTTTTATTGAACTACATATAAATGACCTTCCTTATGTCATCACTACTATATGTGTGAGTGTGTACTGAGACTGCTTGTGACCAAGATTTGGGGGGTCATTACACCTGTCAAGAGTGCCCTTTCAAATATAGTCTTATTTTGACAGCTGCTGTCATGGGTGATATTTATGGTATTTTCTCAAGCTTTTAGGCAGTTGGAAGTCCTTTTACATTGATAATCTTATACTACTCTTTGGGTTTAAAAAATATGCAGCACAGTAAAAATATATCCTGCTCACATGTATTTTTTAAAAGATTTTATTTATTTACTTGAGAGAGAGAGAGAAACTACAAGCCAGGGGAAGGGGCAAAGGAGGAAGGAGAAGTGGACTCCCTGCTGTGCAGGGAGCCCAACTCGGGGCTCAATCCCAGGACCATGGGATCATGACCTGAGCTGAAGACAGACACTTAATGGATGGAGCCAGGCAGGTGCCCAGCTCACATGTATTTTTACTCTGCATTAGCTTTATGTAGTATGCAGAGTCTTACAGAGTATCTGCATCTCCAGGTAACAGTAACCTTTGGTAACCTGGGTTTTATCTCTGGAACATAAATTCTCTATTACCATCCTGAATTCAAGGAATACTGAGACTAGAGGGCAGAAATGCCAGTTATTTTTTTTTTTAAGAAAGGTTGAAGAAAATTCCATGGAAATGTAACAGGGAAGACAATTTTAGCAATTTCTACAGTGATTTGGACAACTTCAATTTGGAATCTAAAGTAGTCCTTGTGATTGGATAAAAATTAATCACCTGTCCTGCACTAGTTCTTTGGATTAGTATTTTATCTTCACTCTCTTCCGAGAGAGTCTTCATGGAGTCACACGTTTCATTCTGCTTCGTTAAGATTCTGTGTCTTTTAGTGTCAGGTACAGCTTAGTCTTTGAAAAGCTTTAGATTCCAAGTCAGTGCACGAGAGGCAGGCGAGAGGCTGGAAACCTGAAGCAAATAACAAACGCACAGTCTACTGTGTAATATCTGGAAGCCTGTGTTGCTTGTGATTCTTTTTAGTTTTTATTTTTAAGTGTGACTCTTGGTAGAAGCTTTGTCTTGAACACAATGCTGTTGTTAAGAGCGAGTGAAATGACTGGAGCTGTGCTGAGGAAAAAAAGTGCGCTGAAGGATTTAGAGCCGACCACTATAACCCAAATGCTGCAATTATCTGCAGCTGAAAACAAGTAGCTTTTAATGTGTCCATTTGGCCAAGAAGAGAGAGGAGAATTATAGACTATTGCTCTTTCCTTTTCCTGCTCTCAGACTCTGTCTTCTTCTTTATATAGTTTATCATCCATAATTTCAGGATGTATTTTGCTTCTTTAAGCTGTTTTATCTGTAGGCTTATGAGGTCACTCATGTGTGAATTCCTTTGTTAGTCATCTCACCTTTTGCCTTGATGATAGAAAATTGATCAGGCCTAAAGTACAAGTTCAATAGACAACCCCCTTGGTCCTTTGTCTAGGAGAATAGCTACCATTGAAGGCCATGAGCAGGTTGCTATTAATATGACAGCCTGCTCTATCTCCCACTGTAATTTATAATGAAATACCTAATCTCCATTATTTTGATCCAAGCAGGCGATCCCATGAAAAAGTCTTTTCATCCAGTTCCCAATGGCTGTTACATGAGAAATGGCAAACCAATAATTTTTGTCAAGTTTTTTAAGCCAACAGAAATGCTTTTCCACTGCTACAGTTTCAAAAGGCACAGATAAAGCTCATTCACTGAGATGAATGAAAAAGCCATCTGGGGTTTTTCTTTTTGACTTCCTTTCCTTTTCTCCATCCTTGTAATCAAATTTGAGCAAAATCAAATGGGGCTTTCTATGAAAGTACCTTTTGTTGATCTGAACGAGCTGGTAATTTACAAAATACCCTTCCTTTGTGAGGAAGGCTAAAGAAAAAAAGAATCAGTAGCTTTTAAAGCTGGGCCTTAGTGGGACTCTAAATGCAATGAAAGCAGTCTGTGTTGAGAGATTGAAATGCATTTCAAAGCCAGGCCTGACTCAGGGTACAAGGAAGAACAGACCTATGTGCATTTTGTAGGAAGAAAAATGTGAATGGAAAAGGGAGAAAGGGAGAGAAACAGGGGGAAAATCTGGATAATACATTAAAGTAACAGTAATTTTGGAGATGCATTCGTCTTACTGAAATTGTGTACGTAACCAGTGATACCGAAGTTGGATATTTGCTCAATCAGGATGCTCAACAATTTGAGCCTTTACTTTAAAGTTTGGAGCTGCATGGGTTTGTGGAGAAAGTCAGCTTGGGATGTGTGTGATGTTTTTCTCCAACTTTTCCTTTTTCTTCTTTGCTTTGGGATCTTGTGGGAAGTACCTCAAGAAAACCTGAAGATGTTAATATTTCAGACAACTAATACTTGCTGTTTTCCCTCTTTTTGCCTGCTAGACTTCCTCGTGGCAGTAATTCTTCTCCACCCCTTTGAATTCAGAAAGATGGCATAGAAATCTCAGAAACAGTAAGTAATGTGTGATATTTTCTTCAATTACTTTTGATAGTCAGTTGTAATAAAGCTGAAATTTGGTTATTGGAGGAGTTTGGAATCATCATGCATGCCTAGACGGAAAATAGGTTTTGTGGAGCATTTGCATTTTTAGAGAGCAATTACTTTTGGTTTGGTATAATTGTTTATCACAATATTACTATCATAATACTGAATGTGTTTTTCATTACTGCTCTATCCTGTATGTTCTGATAGCTAAGTATTGTGTGGCACATAATGTATGCATTCTTAGCACAACAGTTTAAGAAACAATGTAAAAATTGTAGGGAACTATCTTTGGAGATGTTTTCTTGTTTCATGCACCACACAGTCTTCCTCATACATTTATAGTTTTGATTCCTAGTAGTCATATTTTCTGAGGACTTTTCTATTTGTGCTTGAAATAAAATTCTTCTATAAATTATATGAGTTTATTTTTTCAAAGTAAATACCCAGAGAAAGACAAGAGTTGTTTTGATATTACAAACCAATCAAACAATTTTTAAGGTGGCTTAAGCTACATGTCTTAGTCAAGCATTGTAACTAAAATAAAAATGCTTCATTTAGAGGTATTTTTCTCCCTTTAGGAAAGTGAAAAGTCTGTTTTCATCTTTCCCCAAATAAGACACATATGTGTTATCTGAAGACATAATTCCTTGAATTAGAGTACGTGTCACAAGTATTTTTTTTTAACGTAGATGCCGCATTGGCATTTCTGAGTAACTATGGTGCATGCTTTAAATATGTAAATGCCTTAGTCAGAATGAAGTGATATGGGGCCGCATCAGTTCTAATGTCTCCGTGATGGCTTGAACAGAATATGCATTAGCATGGGCATTGCCAAAGCAAGTGCGACCTGAGAATTCCACATAGGCAACCAAGAAACCTTTGTTTCTGGAGCCAAGAAACAAAACAAGATTAAAGGAAACCAAGACCTATGTTGTTTAACCCTTCAGGTGACCATCAGCCTTTCTTAGAGCTGCAGAAATGGGGAATGGAATCCAGATAGTTTTACAACTCTCTATGAGGGCCAAACCCATTTCCCTTCTAGCTGTTCCTCATAACAAATCTAAATTCCTGGAAGTCTGTGTTTAAGATGAGGTCTGTTTTCTCTGCCTTTGCAGCTTTAGGTCTCTTTTCCAACTTCCTACAATATTTATCTGTGCCTGTGGTTTTGAGCCATTTGCTGCCTCCTAATGCCTAACTTTAAAATAGCATATGTGGCAAACTGCCAAGACGGTGGCAGTGGGGTATTGGTTTATATTGGTATTGAAGTTCCAAGGTTGTTGTTACCCATAATTTACAACAGTTGCTGTACAACAGATGATTAAAACCTGAGGGGTGGGTGGGAGGGACAAGAGTAAAACTAATTGGTGACCTTCTTGATGGATCTAAGTGTGGTTTCTTCCTGTGAAAACAAGTTGGATTGTTGTGTTGTCTGCGTGGACATGATGTTCTAGATAATCTGTACGGTGCCATTGTAATCATTGCCTACAATCTTAGATTGATAGAGAAGCACAATATAAAGATCTTTTGTTTGAGAGATGTAATTAATTATACCAGTTATGCAGATTTTTTCTCATAATATTGATTTCGTTCCCTTTTATGTAAATTAAGCTTGTTAAATTAAAATTATTGGGTTTTTTTAGCTCTTAAAAGAAAAAGTTTATTATTTAGGAATGTCATTGTTGTTTTTTGCTAATCCATATTAGTACCTGGGCAGTAATACTTTGTCTTTTGCTTACTAGTTTCATGTCTAGTCAATCTTACAAGCATTTTGCCAATTTCTCCTTGTGTTATCATTAAGTACTTTTGGTAAAAGCTAGAGATATTCTGTCTTGATATAGTTGTAAAAACTATGTGTAAAGACATGTTAAGGAATAGATAATCAGGCCTGAAAATCAGCTAAGATTCCTGCATGCTCAGTTTATTGAGGATTAACTGTTTCAAAGCTTTTGCTAGTAGAGAATGAATGTTTCCTTTTCCCCTCAATGTAGGTATAAGCATTATCCTGTAAGCACCTGGCATTTTTGGGTACTGGAGAGCTAGGTATTTCCTACCTAACCACTGGGGCAAGGGGAACCTTCCCAAATCTTTTGTTTGTAGGCTTTGTATTCCTAGATATAGAAATCTGATAATATTGCACACTTTGCTCTTTGCTAAGCCAAAACAAAAACAAACAAACAAACAAAAAACCACTCCTAGAAAGTTTAGAAATCCAAATCTTTGTGGTGTCTTCAAAAGTTATCAGAGGAAAGGAAAAACGAACACACTTGTTAAGTGTCTGAAGCATCTGATATTGATTTTAAAGTTTTGTTTTCCTTTATGTAAAATTAAAAGTTCCTTGAGCTTTGTGTTAGGAACTAGATGCTACCTTTTTATTACACTAGTGGTATTGAGGTTTCAGTGCTTTCATGGATGAGCAATAGAATCCAAAGGTAGAGATGAGGCTCATGCAGCCCCAGTCCTTCTAGGATAGGATAGGAGCCCTGCCCCCTGCATAAGCTCTGCCAGTAGAAGCTATTATCTGCAGATTGTTCTTTTTATAATCTTCAGCAGGATCAAGTAAATCTGCCCATGCTTTGATGTGCTGACAAGCTATAGATTGCTTGACTAATCAGTGTGTGTTAAGAGGTCACATTTTCTAGTGTTCAGGATGCAGGAAAGTGGTTGGCTTGGTTTTAATTCCAGTTTTGTGTTGATGAAAGCTCTGTGCTGATCACTGACATCTTTGGGCCTTGCTTCCCTCAGGTGTCGAATGGGAACATTATCTGTCCCTTGTTTGTTTGTTTTTTCTTGCCTCCTATGGATGGGCAGACATTTTGCCATGAATATGATGGTTGGGTCTGGTCAGCTAAGATGGTGATGACATAATGACAAAGAAGATAAGACCAGGTTTCCACAGACATGCTCCCCTGCTAATCCCAGATTGGAATCACCTTTTTATGACAAAAGGGACAAGGTACAGGGCAGGTTTTGATCAATGCCAAGGTCATTCCAATTATTGGTCAGACAACTCCATGAAACCATAAACATGGCAGCAGCATCTGAAGTGGAAGAAAATTCACAGACTCCCATCATGCCCTAAAATTCAGTATGGGGAAACTGGGAACATAAGAGGCAGAAAAACTCTGTCACATACACACAAACTACGTTTTACAAGGGTTTTGATGTAGGTTGTAATGTAATATGATAGATATAAATAATAACTAAACAATTAGGAATAGAGAAAATATAAATTAGTTTAAGACTTTGGAAAAAAAAATAACACACATATGAAGGCCATGCATTTCAAAGGTTTTTTGTTTTTGTTTTGTGGGTTTTTTTGAGTCATAGACTTGGCCAGAGTTTTTAGCAGCTACAACAAAAATAGCAAAAAAAAAAATCATCATCAAAAGGGTAACTTCCATATAGTGGATATCTTATACATATTAGCCATAATTCTCACAACCACCCCAAAGTCTGTTATCATTACCTTCATTTCACGGTGGTGAAAACGCAGAATCAGAGAGATTCAGTGACTGGCCTCTAGTTACACAGGAAGCATGTGGCTATGTAGATTAAATCTGGGCATCAAAACCTGGGCCTTCCTTGAGCAACATAGATGTCAGCTGTCCCTCAGTCTCTTATATATACAAAACATCTTTCTGTTTTTGTCCAAGGGCAACCCACAGCCACAGACCTCAGCTTTCATTGAGGTTCTCTAATAGAGTACCCTTTTACAAAGAGTGAGTGAGCAGCAAATCTTACTCAGTAAAATTTTACAGTATTTTTTACTGAAAGAGAGATGAGGTGGGGTGGGTTCGGAGTTTACTTTGCATATCCCACATCAAACCACTTGAACATCCCTATTGAACATTCTCCTCTGTGAAATACCTTCTTAGTTTGCCAACACTGGAGATTTCTCTCTTTGACCCTTCTTCCCTCATGCTCCATCCAGCTTCCCTACATGTTTTCTTCTATTCTTGGGACCCCCCCTTTCTCTATCCTTAAATTATTTATACCTCTATTTTGCAGAAGCAATATGGTTTTCCCCTAGCTCCTAAAACTAAACTTGCATATCTCAGCCTAATGTTGTGCTTAACACATCCCCAAAAGCCTTCCTGACAACTTAATAGTAGTGAGGATTATGTAGCAATTGAAAAAATCCCCCTATACATTTTCTGTTAGGGAAAGACATTTCATTATGCTTTTGGTTGTAGCTACCCCTGCTGATGAGTCCAGGGTGCCATAGCAAAACTTATAAATGCTCCTTTCTGTGGGGCTTTAAATAGAAAAGATGGAGGGAAAGGTGAAATTAAGAATGAGAAAAGCAATAAAGGAGAGAGAAACAATTTACCTCGTAATATAATGTTAAAAGTGAATTTGAGTCTCCTTTTTTTCAGTTTTGTCCCATAAATTCCTTTTTACACGGAATAGGAAACTGTATTCTTAATTTACGTATTAGACAAACAATGACAAGTTTACTTAAAGGATAATAGAATCCTAATGCCTAGAAAGAGGCCACAGACACTGAAAAATGGAAAACAAGTCCTTAGCTTTAACATCACAAGGGTTTAGACTTGTGATATGAATCATGATTAGGTAGTAGGGCTTTTATCAGTTCAGCTTCTGTGTACTCCTTTTAGAAAATTTGAAGAGAAGCACACGAATCAACTATAATGGTTCAACATATATAATTTGTTTGGACTTTGGGGCATGGAGTGAAAATTGAGAAACATTTTACAAAACTTTTGGAACCCCAGGCTCAGAAAGTTTTTGGTGAGTCATTTACCTGCACACTGGTATATTTTCTGCATAGGATTTTGGTTAAGTTATTCAGGTCTTTGCTTCTGCTTTTTGGCTTAAACAGTTGATGTTACAAGGTTCTTGGAGCCTTGAACTTGATTGTCAGCCAGTGTAGCTCTTTTAGGAAAGGGTGTCCAATCTCTCAGCCATTCAGAATTGTCTATATTGTCATAGCTCTAATGAGTGTG